GACCACAACACTATCAACAAACAACATCATCAAAATAGACCACGACATCATCAACAAAGACCACGACATTGGCGACAAAGACCACGACATCACCAACAAATACGACGACATCATCAACAAACACCACGACATCATCATCAAAGACCACGTCATCATCAACAAAAACCACAACATCATCAACAAAGACCACGACATCATCAACAAAGACAACGACATCATCAAAGAAGACCACAACATAATCAACAAACACCACGACATCATCAACAATTATGCCCTATCTGCCCTAATGCAAACAAAGTGTAAAATGAGAGTAAATATATGAAATCTAGACGTTACATTTATTGAGGAGCAGATTGATCACACGGTTAAATCTCTCTTGACACATCTTGAGTCGGATGAAAACACACAATTCTTTGAAGGAGAACCATTAAACAGTATCAGAGATTATCAGAGATTATCAATAAACAACAATACAAATACTGTACAAACACTCATTTCATTTCAGAGTTGTTTCCACCTATATGATTCGCAAACTCGGGGGTACTCTATAGGGTGTCAGTAAAGACCATGATCAGGATCAAGATTAGGTCATGTTTAAAGTCTGTTCAGAATTCATAATAACGTTGAAGGGAAGTGACTTTTTCCTTTTCCTAATCAAGAATGAGTAATGAGTAATGTGATTGGAGTAATTCGATTAATCTATTACACTCCTCTCCGTCTGTTTCCTCTCTGTCCGTGCTATCAAAATAAGAGGCCAAAAAAAGGAACCGTAATAAGAAGAAAACAACATCAGTGCTGCTCATCCTGATGTTACACTGCTGGATGTTCTGACAGAACGCTATGTGATGTTCTACCAACACACACACACACACACACACAGAGCAGAATGATGAAAATGAACCACAAACACCGACTAAATCAAATTACCTGGTTCCTTTATCTCCCATCCTGACGACAATGACGAGTCAACAGACGGAGAGATGATGAAGGAGGAGGAAGAGGAGGAGGAGGAGGAGGGATGCTGTCACCGTGGAAACTGAGGGGAGGATGTCTCTCTCTCTCGCTCAGGAAGTCGTCGTCATGCCGTCAGATTCTCCTCAGCAGGAGGAAAAACCTCCATCTGAGCTCCAACTGAACAAGCGACTGATTCCAGCACTCTGCCCACCCACCCACCCACCCTTCCTGTCCTCTCGCTCCCTCCCCCGCTCTCTATTCACACTCATTAGCAGCAAAGTGTGATAAAATATGAAAACCACCAGAGGGCTGGTTTTATTCCAGTCGCTGACATGTCAGCTCGACCGACCTTGAGCAGCAGAAATATAAATATATATGAATCACAAGTTGGAGACGAGTGGACGTGCTTCACAGAGACGTCTGTACGGAGGCTGAAAGGTGCCTGATGCTGGTGCTGTGGAGCAGCTCCTAGATTTTGAAAACTTTGATTTTGAAAAACCGTAGCATCTATCAAAATAAAAGGGATAAATTAAGGGATGCTAATTGCTACAGTTACGGATGTACAAATCAACATATTTCTGTTAATTACTAATCAGTATTTCCTCAGTTCAGATCAAAGAGGGCAGATCGAAGGCAGCAGCTTTCTGCCTCCTCATTAATGAGTGTGAACCGCCTGGAGCTTCATCATCTTCACCTTAAAAAAAACCAGACAAACAACTGTTGACAAGCAAAGCTAACAACCCAATGGTGCCTCCAGTGTCCTCTGCTGTGTGAACACACAAGATCAGAACCAACAATGTAATGCAGGTCATTATGGAGAGATTTGTTATTATAGGGTAAAAAACATCTTGGGGATAACACATATATTATTATAAATACATAGCTATAATAATATGTTTTCTCCTGGAGTGCATATAATTTAATTATTTAATAACTTATCACAACTGATCTTTAACCAACTCTCCTCCTATCTCCACCATAACAATCTCCTGGACCCCCACCAGTCAGGCTTCAAGGCCACGCTGTCCTCGTCCTTCTGGACCTCTCTGCTGCATTTGACACAGTTAACCACCAGATCCTTATTTCCTCCCTTCAGGAACTTGGTGTCTCAGGCTCTGCTCTCTCCCTTCTCTCGTCCTACCTCGACGGACGCACCTACCGGGTAATCTAGCGAGGATCTGTGTTGGAACCATGTCCTCTTACTACTGGAGTTCCTCAGGGTTCCGTCCTGGGTCCCCTCCTGTTCTCGCTTTACACCAACTCTCTCTGCGCTGTCATTCGCTCGCATGGCTTCTCCTACCACAGCTATGCTGATGACACCCAACTAAGTCTCTCCTTCCCTCACTCGGATCTCTGCCTGTCTGACTGACATCTCTCAGTGGATCCGCCCACCATCTGAAAATCAACCCCGACAAGACGGAACTACTTCTCTTTCCGGGAAAAACTCTCGGACACAGGACCTGACAGTCAACTTTGGCAACTCCGTGTTGACGCCCACTTTGACTGCAGGAACCTCAGCGTCACACTCGACAGCCGACTCTCCCTGACTCCCAACATCACCGCGACAACGCAATCCTGTAGATACTCGCTCTACAACATCAGGAGAACACGTCCTTCTCACTCAGAAGGTACTGATTCAGGCTCTTGTCGTCTCCCTCCTGGACTACTGTAACTCTCTCCTGCAGGTCTCCTGCTACCTCCATTCCATCCCTGCAGCTCATCCACAATGCAGCAGCTCCACTGGTCGTTAACCTTCCTAAGTTCTCCCTCACTCCTCCACTCCTCCGCTCTCTTCACTGGTACCGGTGGCTCATCCAGTTCTAAACATGGTGCTCACGTACCATGCTGTGAATGGATGGGGTCCAGCTTACATCCAGGACCTGGTCCAACCCGACATCCCGACCCGCACTCTCCGCTCTGCATGTGATAAACTGCTTGTTCCTCCTCACTGAGAGCAAAACACTCGACTAGATCTCCACTCTCTGCTGTCCTGCTCCTAAATGGTGGAAGGAGGTCTCTGAAGACATCAGGACCACAGAGAGCCTTCACATCTTCAGACTAAAGACACACCTCTTCACACTCTACCTCCACTAACACACTAACTGTAGCACTTACACTGGACTTATAATGGTTCTTATCTACAGCAAGTTGTACATCGGCTTATTTGATGAAATCACACTTTCTTGTTTCTTGTTCTTCTGAGTTTGTGTCCTTATGGTTGAAATGTTCTTATTGTAAGTCGCTTTGGATAAAAGCGTCAGATAAATGACGTGTGATGTAATGTAATAACAACTATTCCTCTGCATTTAGAAAAACAAGTGTATATTTATTCATTTTTTGTCATTTGACAAGTAAACAAATGGATGGCATTAAAACACATATTAAAAGTAATAAATATTTGTCAGTTTTGATCAGGGCTGAAGTTTGAAAAAACCCAAAACATAAACATTCTGTGGAATTGGAAAAACACACTTTTATGGCAGCTTTTTTTAAAGTAACCATCAGATGTAAAATTACTCACAACAGTTAAATGCACGTCCCTTTGTTCGTTGTCCCCCTTTAACAGTAAAAAAGCATAAATCACATCCATTTTATCCAATTAGCAAATAGCTTAAAAACACAATCGTTCCTTTTGGCAGCTCTATGATCCGTTTATGTCGTCACGACGGGACCTCTGGACTGGTCTGCTCAGATGTCACTCCAGAGGACGGCCCGCCTACTTTTATCCACGCTCACGACGTATTCGCCAGACAGCGACCAGGCCACGGCGCTGATAGAAGAACTAGAGAAGGGAGAATTAGTATATATGAGGGGTTCCTCAGGGAAGCATCACGGGGCCTCTGACCTTAACATCTGGACTCGTTACCTGTGTCTGTCGGGGAGGCGGGTCTCCAGGTTGCCAGTTGATACGTTCCAGATGTAAACAGCACCGTCTGCCGATCCGGCCGCGAGGAAGCAGCCATCCGGACTGAAGAGAGGGGACGACATAAAAAAACATGTTCTTAATTAATGACGTATATGGACAGACAACATGTGTGTGTTGTTATGTTGTTGTGTGTTGTTGCAGACAACGAGTAATGACTTACATGGCGCAGTTTCTATTGCATCTACTGGTTTTATTTATACGGTTTCTACTGGTTGTGCTTTGACTGGTTCTACATCCACAGGTTTTGTTTCTGCTGGTTCTATTTCCGTTTCAACTGTTTTGGATTCTAATCATTTTTTATTGGCCGACGTTAAAAGTTTGTGATAATTCAGCAGCTGGTCCTGTGGAACCTCAGAGGACCCAGCGGGGAACCGTGTCCGTCCGCGTCACTGTCTGTCTCTCTGTCTCACTGTATATCTGTCTGCCCTCTGTCTGTCAGCATCCTGGTCCCGCCGTTGCTATGGAAACAGCAGGAGGTGAAGCAGCTTTTCTCTGTTTTTCGACCACAAACATCGATTGACGTCGGATCAAAAGGAAACACAGTAAACTTATGATGGACCTCTTAGCGTTATCAGAAGTAGGGGGCCTCACCTGATCACAGCTTTGCTGCTGTCGCTGCCACATTTAAATCCCTCGGCTCTGAGACACAATCACAGAATCAGTAAATATGATTCATAACAAACAATAAATGACGTCATCACAGTGGGACGTTTGCTCCTCACCTGAAGCACACACGCTCGTTGCTTCGCCCCCTCAAGTCGACCAGCTGGAGGCAGTCGTCACGGCAACAGCTGAGCAGATGACGATGGTCAGAGCTGATGTCCAGCGAGGTGACTTTCCCCTGAGCAGGAAGCTCCTGGACGCATCGCAGCAGCCTGAGGACGACCGGATCAGTTAGAACGCAACAATAATGAAACCACAACAAGAACATTAGATAAAACTGATCATTTATGAGCAGTATGAACAAGGGGAGACGCTGGTGTGTGATTGGAGGACAGAGCTGTCAATCATCAGCTGGCTCACACTCCGATGGCTCAAGAGGGGAGGGGGGACGTTGGCTGAGCTGTTGCTTAGTAACAGAGGGAGACGAGGAATTGCCATAGCAACGGCTGGTAAGAAGAATGAGAGGATGACAGGGTTCAAATCTACGGTTTCTACTGTTGGTGAAGAGGAGGAGGTGATGAAGAAGAGTAGGTCGTGTTGAAGAGGAGGAGAGGAGAAGGTGATGAAGAAGAGGAGGTCGTGTTGAAGAGGAGGAGGTGAGGACGAGGAGGTCACCTGGTGTCCCACACTCTGATCCTGGAGTCAAAGTGTCCGCTGATCACCGAGTTCTCAGAACAAACCAGATCGCTGCAGGAAGACGACACCTCGAGCACCTCCACACCTGGAGGGAGGAGTCATTGATCAGCGATCAGCTATGGATCAGTTACTGGTCAGGTACTGATTAGTCATTGATCAGCTATGGATCAGTCACTGGTCAGGTACTGATTAGTCATTGATCAGCTATGGATCAGTCACTGGTCAGGTACTGATTAGTCATTGATCAGACTCACAGGCGGCTCTCTGCAGGTCCCACAACCTGATGCTTCTGTCTTCGCTGCCCGTCACCACCTGATGAAGACAACCACTGAACCTCGCGGCTGTCACCTTCCTCCTGTGACCCGTCAGGGTCAGCTGAGAAAGGGAGACGAACAAGTGAGTCAGACGGGTGGCGCCATGTGGAAGTCTTCATAGAACAGATGGTCACTCTCTGGTTACCTTGGCAACAGAGTCGTCCAGACGCCACAACAAGGCCGACTTATCGTAGGAGGCCGCGAGGATCCTGAAGCCCTGAAAACGTTTTCATTAATCATTTAGAATGTTGAAATAAATCACAGAATAAGATTAAGCCCCTCCCCCAGACAGGTGACCTCACCATGGGGTCAAACTCGATGCAGGTGATCCCCCCGGTGCTGCCGTCCAGGGTGGTCCTGTGAGTCAGCGAGCCTGGTGACATCATCACAGGTCAGTGAGGTCATCGCGATGACAAAACGTCAGAGTAGTGGCCACACTCACCTGATCGGACCTCCCACACTTTGACCTCTCGGTCCGTCCCCCCCGTCGCCAGCAGGTGAGAGCTGGAGCTGAACCTCACGGCGTTAATGCCCTGCTCATGGGCCTCCTGATGGGGTAGATACACTTCATGTACTTATACACACTGCTGTAGAAGACCTATTCTGCCCCTGATTGGCTAAAACTCGCTGCCATCGTTGGTTTGATTGGCCGTGAACCGGAAACAAACCAATCAAAGTCAGAGGAGGGCGGGTCTCTTGGCGGAGTGTCGATTTGACAGAATGACGGAGGCAGCTTCAGGTACCTCCCCCCCACTCGGTACACACCGAGTGTGTACCGAGTGTGTACCGAGTGTGTACCGAGTGTGTACCGACTGTGTACCGACTGTGTACCGAGTGTGTACCGAGTGTGTACCGAGTGTGTACTAAGTGCATTACCAGGACTTGCAGCGCCCTCACAGGGACTCGAGCGTACAGATTGACCCTCACAGGAAACACCAGGTCCTCCTCCATGCTGCATACAGAGTGGCCCCGCCTTCTCCTGCTGACATCACAGTCATATGACTAACCTGGGTCCGACCACACAGAGAAGATCAACATGGAAGGAGGACTCACTGGAAGAGGTCTCTAAAGGAGGACAGGATCCTGGGAGAGGACGCAGACAAGGACCTGAGACAACCAGAGGAGACCCGCGATGAAGATGACGATCAAATAAATCCATAATAATCAATAAGTTCAGAAATGTCCGTGTGAACCTGAACAGTCTGCTGTGACCTCGCTCTCTGGACTCCAGCTGGAGGTCACACTTAGGAGACGTCGATCTGGAGCTCGGAGCGCTGAAACAACTAGAAATATCAAACCAGCATCAGGCACGTTGCCACGACAACTATCACCGTCAACGTCGACATATTTAAAATACTTATATGCTCCATCTTGAGATATTCAGACTTCACTAAAATGGTTGCAGGTGGATCTCACCTTTCCACGGTGACCTTTGACCTCATAGCAGACTGCAGCTCCTTCTGCAGGTGAGCCTCCCGAGCTCTGGTGACAACAGAGACAGAGGAGGGGGAGTTCAGATGTGAGAGCAGGTTCAGGTGTCAGGGCGGGTTCAGGTGTCAGGTTCAGGTGCCAGGGGAGGTTCAGGTACCTAGACCTGCGTTGGTTGCGGCTGTTCATGTGGGCGGCGGCCTGCTGTCTCTCCTGGATCATGGTCTCCAGAAGACGATCCCCACGGAGCTTCTCCTCCCGGAGCTCCGCCTCCTCTCGTCTCCGAAGCTCCAGCAACTCATCGTACTTCGTCTTCAACGCAGCGTTCTCCAGCTGAACCTGCTCCACCCGCTGCTGCAGCACCCTGCGGGAATCAAACGCACTTGCCAGCCGGAGCTCCTCCTCCTTCAGTCTGACCACACAGATGTTGTCATTTAGGAGAAAAATGAAGGATACATATACACACACACATATATATACATGTGTGTATATATATACATATATATACACACACACACACACATACTGTATGCCCTACTATACTACATGTAGTATATACTAGTATATGCCCTGCTATACTACATGTAGTATATACTAGTATATGCCCTGCTATACTACATGTAGTATATACTAGTATATGCCCTACTATACTACATGTAGTATATACTAGTATATGCCCTACTATACTACATGTAGTATATACTAGTATATGCCCTACTATACTACATGTAGTATATACTAGTATATGCCCTACTATACTACATGTAGTATAGCAGCGTGTGACCTCATAGGGGCCTCACCTGTACTGCTGCTCCTCCAGAAGAAGTTCTCTGGTCCTGGTCTGCTGCTGCAGCTCCAGCACCTGATAGGCCAGCTTAGAACAGGAAGCACAGAAGAAGAGATCAGCCCCTCTTCAACATCTCAAACATTACCGAACATCATCCACTATTGTTTCTTCAAAATGGAATCAACATTGATACATTACATCACACGTCATTAAGCGGTGGCTTATATCCCCCCCCCCTCCCCGCAGAAGGCTTAGACAAACTAAAAATATTCCAACTGGTTTGTGTCTCAGAAAGCATCCGGGTGCTTCTGTGTGCGCGTGCACCTCTCCTGAAGTCTTCCTCAGCTGCTCGTTCTGCTGACGCAGAGACGGGACGGAGCGGCCGTCAGAGGAGACGTCTGCAGGACGTCTGGAGGCACAAAACAAACACACAGTCATGTTTGTCATCGTCGTTAGAGGTCAGAGGTCAGGTGACTCCAGGTGTATCAGCAGGTGAGCTACCTGGGGGAGCCGCTCAGGATTCCTTTGGTCAGCCGGGTTTTCTCCAGCAACCGATTGTCTGAAAGCAGAGAGCAGTCAGAACTGGTCCTGGTTCCTACTGGGTCACCTGTAGAACCCGACACACTAACCTCAGCTGAGCTACAGGCCGCCATCATCAGTTGCGCTACATGCTACATAAGTTATGCTACATGCTACATCAGCTACGCTACATGCCGACTTCAGATTAGAGCTCAGCTAAGATAGATGCCACTCTCAGCTACTTTACATGCGGTAGCATGCTATGCTACATGTTAACATCAGCTAAGCTACCATCAGCTACGGCTGGTGAAGTACAGCAGAAGCACATCAACGGTTCGGTGGCTCCTGTTTCACCACCACACCAGATTCCATCCAAAATATGACCCGTTTAAGATTTATCGGATTTAGATCTTTTAGGGTAAACCTGCGCTTTTGGGTTGAATTTATTTATTATGAATCATCTGTTTAAAGTGGCATGATGATGATGATGATGATGATGATGATGATGATGATATGAGTCACTGGCAGAGGAAGTGGAACAGTTTAGTTTTCGGACTACTTCCTGTTCAATAGGAATATAAAGTTAGTCACTTTACATACCGTCTCCCAGCTCAACCAGACTCCATTGAGAATATGTCAGTTTTAGTTCAAGCAGAGTTTAGTAGTTACGGCGACGGAACCTGGAGGAAATGTTCAGAGGCAGAGAACTAAAGAGTGACGCCGAGTACGAAACGTGGTCGGTGATCGGATCCTTTCTCAGAACGGCCTAAGTCGATCTCAGTTGGGTAAATGTAACGTTAAATGAGTATCTTTGTGACCCTGAGTTTGCGTACATGTTCTTTTCTAACTTTATTGACAATCCAGCAGATCACAGCAACTTGCAAGTAGCGCAGCGTCTTAAATAAAGTGATGTATGTCTTAGTGCAGGGCGGCACGGTGGTTATCAGGGTCTCCTCACAGCGAGAAGGTCCTGGTTCCACTCCGCCCAGACGCCTTTCTGTGTGAGTCTGCATGTTCTCCCCGTGTCTGTGTGGTTCTCTCCGGGTTCCTCCCACAGTCCAGAGACCTGCTCTGGGGATCAGGTTGATGGGGACTCTAACTTGCCTGTAGGTGTGTGAGTGGTTGTGTGTCTCTGTGGAGCCCTGTGATTGGCTGGTGACCCGTCCAGGATGAACCCGTCTATCACCTGAAGTCTGCTGTGATGGACTCCAGCCCCCCAAGACCCCGTGTGCAGGATGAGCCGTGTGAAGATGGATGGATGTCTTAATGCGCGGCTTTAGAAATGAACACAAAGGGATTCTATATTTCCTTATAAGGTCTGAAACGGGTCGTTTGGACTGACTTCTGCCCCCCCGGGCTCTGATTATCGCCACGGGTCACCAGTCAGTCCGCTGGTCGTTATCAAAACATGGGCCAAATGACCCGTTTCAGACTTCAGAAGGAAATACAGAATCCCTTAGTGTTCCTTTCTAAAGCCGCTTTAAGTCAAGTCGCTGTGATCTGCTGGATTCTCAATGAAGTTAGAAAAGTCGGTACCTCCCGGCGGGCCGGACGTGGCCCGCGGGCCGGAGTTTGAGACCCCTGTTCTAGATGGAGTTGGGCTCGGAGGAGATATGATGATTCATCGGATATAAATCAACATCTTACTGTTTTTATCTACTGAGTAGACAGACCAGAAAAGGTGGGACAGGAATTTTCTAAACCAAACTTCAATAAAAACGTATTTTAATTGGATGTGTGAAAGTAGTTAAACTTTGCAGAGGTTCTGTCGCCCAGTGAGCCGACCGGAACCGACCCGGAACACTCGTCTCAGAAACGGATAAAAAGTCTACTCGACCGTACAGAAGCGGGATCAGGTCCTGGTACCGGTCGTGCTGGCTCCGGTCCCGGTGCTTCAGCTGGCCCACGATGTGTCTCTTCCAGGCCTCCGTCGACCGGGCCCGGGGCAGCGCGGGCGCCGCGTCCCGGCCGCCGTGCCGCGGGACTCGGGGTGAATCCGCCATGACTGCGCGCGGCCCGGGCAGCCTCCTGCGGTCTCCCCGCTGACAGACGCCCCTACACCGGCACGGAGCTACAGGCGGCCGCGTGGTGAGCGTCGGGTTCTCCGCCCCGCCGCCATGTTGCTCGCTCTTCTTCCTCCTCCTCCTCTCTGGTGTTTGTTGTTGTTGTTGTTGTTCTCACTATGTTTCCTAGAGCTGTGTCACTGACAGGAGGCGGGGCTGCAAACTGCCGGGTCTTTCAGCCAATCAACGCCCGCCGTTCGTTTCCGGGTTACATTTGAGACGGCAGACGGGACACGCCCCCTAAAGGAGACGCCGGGGTTTTAACGTCATTGATCATTTCATTTTCATAAATAAATATTTGTTGTTTAGTAAAGACAAATTTAAACAGCCGTTTGTCAATCAAATAACACAAAATAGCCTTTTGGCTGTATTTATTTAAATAAATAATCATAGTGAGGTATAAGGAATAGGCGGGTTATAGAAGCAAAAGAAAGAAATATTGAACTTTGACACATTTATTAAGGAACATATAAAACAAGGATTTATGTACAATGATTGCGATTCAAAACACTTAAAAACAGATGAAATGTCACAAAAACTAACTAAAAGGTGCTTTAAATGTAATACTGATAAAGTGAGGGTTGTCCTCTCTCAGCGTTGGTCCCGGATCAGAGCCGGTTCAGCTTGTTCTGGGTCATCTGAACCAGCAGCTCGGAGTATTTCTCCAGAAGGGACGTTGTCCCGTCCTCCTGCAGCTCAGCGGACGGGACTCTACTCCCCCGCAACACCGCCTGGAGCTCGGCGTGAACGACATCAAACGCACCCTCCAGTACGGAAGACATCTGAAGACACCGATCGCCAACCGACGGGCCGAGCTGGGGAGGATTTGTATTTACTTATATAAACTTATTATTTGTGTTCAGCACAAATGGGGTTTATACATTTGTTGTAATTATACTGTGCAAAATAAAGACTTTTTATCACAGCTTCTAAAAAAGGAGTCAAACCTTTTATTCCTCATATGAATCAACTTCTCTAAATACGTACAATTTCCCTCTGATATTTAGACTTTTTCTTAATCACATTGTGTACTTATTAAAATATGACTCGTGACTGACTCAAAGTGTTCGTTCCTTCGTGACTCCCGCCCCCTCGAACAAAGGCCGACCAATCACAGCATCTCTGCCTCAGTGGATCAGGGACTTCCTCCACTAACAGACGAACACACTGTAGCACTTACATGTTCTACCGTCACTCATCTCACTTTGAGTTTGTGTCCTTATGGTTTAATGCACTTAATGCAAGTCGCTTTGGATAAAAGCTTCAGCTAAATGACATGTGATGTTAATGTCAGACAGCATTTATAAAACTAGTAGAGGGCACGACAGCAAAGAACGTTAGCATAGCATTGAGTAGCCGCAGCGGCTATGCTACGCTAGCTATTGGAGGTAATTTAACATTATGATATCATCATGTAGTCTCTTATCCGCGGTTTGTCAGTGTGGTCGCCATAGTAACGTAGACTGGCAGCAGCTAGAGGGCGGGGCTTAACGCACCTGCTGGTACAGGTGCACGGCTCGTCTCGCCGTCTGTCTCAGCTCGTTGGCGTCTGCTGACAGTGCTGAAGACTGACAGACTGCTCCTCCTGCTGATCGTCCTCACCTGTAAACACACACAGGGTTCAGCACGTACCAGAGTCCGTCCTCTCCGATCAGCTCGGTCCATGTGACAGGAAGTTACCCAGCTGAAGGAGGCGGGACTTCTCTGACAGAGGAGAGGAGGAGGAAGGCGGGCCGTCTGTTACGGAAGATAAAAAAGGTGTTAAGAGGTCATTTATGTATTATAATAAAATATGAGGTAAGATGTAATTGAGAAAAAGTTAAAGAAAATAAATGTATTTTGGAAAAGTTAATTCAATATTATGAAAATATACATATTTGTTTAGGGGCGGTCAACATTAACTTGTATTAACATGTTAACTTATGCCAGAGGTCACTAACTGGCGGATCGCTGTCCGGATCCACAAGCCGTCCCACAAGCTTAACAAAAAATAAAGACATGATTTAAACGTGACATCACACTTTTGTTCCGGCGCAGCTTTACTCGTCTTTACGCTCGTGGCTTAAAGCACCGACCAATAGCATTCGAGTCGTGATGCTACTCGACCAATCGGGTCTTTGCATTCCAGCAGGATGATGATATCGTCTTAATACTGCAGACAGACGAGAGACGCAGCGGCAAATTAGAAATAAAAAGACTGTAGGAAGAAAAGAAAGACAGCGACATTTGAGAAAAAGACGAGTGAGACGGAAAGAGACGGGTGAGACACATGAGGAACAAGTGGACAGTGAAAGTCGAGCATTTAATCCTCAATGGACGGACTGGTTTCTATTCATACTTCCCACTGCAGCACTGAACCAGTGTGTCATGAGCTCAGAACCCGTTAAAACGTCATCGTGAGGCACAATGAGCTCCTCCACGTGAGAGGAGATCGGCCCTGATGCACTAAGACCAGGTTTAACATCCTGCAGGGAAAAATACTTTCTCCCACTTACCAAAAAAGAGTGGATATATATATATATATATATATATATATATTCTATTATTGTCAAAATGTGTTTAGATTCATTATTTAGGATTTGCTGACTGTTCAATAATGAAGCAGAAATTCAAGCTTTTCATTCTAGTTATTTCATTTTTTCGTGTATTGATTAAATGCAAATGTTACACTATTTAATCACACTCGGTCACATTATGATCTTCTGGACCGTCGCTTCTAGAAATCTTCTTTAACGGCACCTCTTCATATTTTAGTTGAATTTCCCTGCGTTATGCGATTATGTGGCTGAGATTAATGCGATAAAACATTTTAACACAGTTAACACAACTTTGTTTACTTGCGGTGTGCCGGAGGTAAACAAAGAAACCGCCGCCAGCGGCAGTCAGTTAGATGGAGAGAACGTTTGCATTAGAAGAAAAACAGAAGAACTGTGCAGAGGAATTCTTCCACAAACAGAAGGGGGACGAGTGCAAATGGACCACTTTACGCACTGCGAGGCTAAGCTAGCTGCTAGGCTAAGCTAGCTGCTAGGCTACTTCCATCTAACGTTACCCTGCAGAGGACCACCACAGTCAAAAAAAACAAACTTTTAATCGCAATTTGGAGATTTGGAGAGCCTCACACCTGTTTAATTTCAGAATGAATCAGTAAATTAGTTTTATTAAGTGAGAATCACAATGCGTTTGTAATGAATCATAAAAACAATGCCGTACCTCGACTAGTCGGGATTCGGGTCTGGGATCCTCCGGAACCTTCTCCCCGCCCCACGAAGTCAGACGGGTCGCTGTCACAGAATGTGGGCGTGTCTGTGGCGGGGGAGGCGGGGCTGAGGGTGAAGGTCTGGTTGTGACTGGTCAGAGTCTCTTCGATGCTGCTGATGCTGCTCAACCTCCTGACTCCGCCCTCTGGCACCAGCGGGCTCGCCGTGGGTCGCCGTGACGACAGAGTGACGCTGACAGACGAGAGACGGGAATTGAATACACCTTCGTCAAAATACTACGTTATTCAAAAAATATTTTCACCCAACTTCAAAACTGTTAACGAGATGTCAATTAATTAAAATAAGAAACTCGACCAATTAAAAGTTTAAATCTTGTAGAAGAAGTAATCACTTTAGAACGTGTGTTTTAGACACTGTTGAATTGTACTTTTAAAAAATGACAAACATTTCCCATCAAACTGACTGCAGCATGGCGGTTTTAGGGGTCAGGGGTCGTGATAGAACTATATTAATGTGTCCCTGCAGATGGAGGGAGACGCCATGAGGACACGGATATGCGCTGCGTCCCCAGCCTGCAGCCTTCTGGCTGAACCGAGCGTCTCTGGAATGGGACGTCTGTCCTACGGGGGACTTCATGAGTCATCAGCTACAGCTCCTGTTGCCTAGCAACCTGCTGAGCTCGACAGTAAAAGTCTTAAAAGCCAAATTACAGAAAAATATCTTATTTCATTTAATTTAGGAAGAAAAGCTTCTCCTGCGGAGCTCGATATACTTCAGGCTGAGAGAAGAACCCAACTAAGTTAGTTTAAGAGTTCAGGTTCTGTGTCTTTATTCTGTAGTCTGTATTCTGAAGTTATGAACCTGAAATATCACTTTCTAAGAACGAGGACGAGTGACGTACGCGGTGGACCAATCCGTCCTTAAGGATGCAGCCTAGAGACACAGCTATTGTGAGACGCCCACTAGGGAAGGCTGCAGAGATCTGGACAGACAGGAGTCATTGTGACACTGATGGTAAAAGGTTTAGGACAAGACAATGTAGAGACACCAGCTGTGGGACAACGGTCTCATGTTTGTGTGCAGAGACAGAACGGAGGGTCAGCAGACTGAGACCGTTAGTTCAGCATCAACAACCAGATAGAGGGACAAGTGAGGGACAAGGAGCAGAAGAGTGGGACGACAGGAGGAGACATGATGGACGGGTGGGTCCTCAGCTCCAGTCAGTGAGTGAGAGGACAATTAGAAAAGAGTTCAAACTGAATAAATGAATCCACAACATATCGCTCACAGTAAATGAACTACTTTGGCATTAGAGACATTTAAGTCACTTAAGACCTGGAGGACGTTACCTGCTGGTCTGGTCCTGATGCTGGTCCAGACCAGCAGGAGAACACAGGTCTGAGGAGCACATGTTCTCCTCCTCCTCCTGGGGGCCGAGGCTGGGGGGGGGGTCCTGGGTCAGTTTGGCCCTGGAGCTGGCTGTGGTTCCCAGGTAGCCGAGCCGGAGCGCCCCCTGCTGGGCCGATGATGTCACCTGACTGGAGGTGACGTCTGGTTGGTGAAAGGAGAATCAGGTGAGCTTTCACTTCTCAGTGGTCATACGCTTCAGGGCCCACACCGCCAGGGGGAAGTGAGGGACAGATTGACCTCTGACCTTGTGAAGAAAGCCCGAAAACCAACCAACCAACCAACCAACCTCCCACACACACACACACACACACACACACCTCGCAGTGCCTCTCTGCACTGGACGGCCACCATGGAGTGTCGGCGGCGGCGTGTTGGGCGGCGAAGGGACTGATGGGAAATGATGGAGGAGGCTGTACGACAAAGGACTGAGTGGCTGCGTTTCACTGATGACACACACACACACACACACACACGCACACACACGCACACCTCTGAATAATCCGCCATGACCCGACGTGTTATTTGACACAAATTTGACTCCTCCCACTGAGGGGGCGGGGCCTCTAGGACCATGATGCATCGTGGGTAGTCAATCAAACGCTGGCAGGGAAACTGAGGTGCAGACGTCCTGTTGACAGATTCAACTCACCAACGTTGCTGCTGCTTTCTTTCCGAGGCGACTCCGTCAGGGCGCCGCCCCCTCTCGGCTCGGCGCCGACCTGTGGACAAACACCAGGTGTCAGAGAGCAGCGGATCGGGTCAGCGGCGCCACGTGTGCTTCAGGCGCGCTCTACCGATGTGTTGCTTACGCCGCTCTCTTCAGAGATTCTGGACGGGATGGTCACAGGGGGCGGAGCTCGGCTCGGCCACACCCTAAAAACAAGGCGGGAGAAGGTCTGTTATCCCCATGAGGACGGTTCACCGCCCCTGAGGATTGTGGGTAGACTGACCTGATCCGGTCCTGGAACCGAGACAGGAAGCGAGTGGAGATGCTGAGTCGAGGGTTCAGGTAGTCTTTCTCCTCCTCCCGAGGGTTTGGCTGCAGGGCCCTCAGGTCGGTGTCAAACTTCTCTGAAAGGTCAAAGGTCACAGGGACACATGAGTGGGCAGGTGAGGAGGGGGGGGCGGGGGGGGGGGGGTGATGAAGAGCGTCTGGTACCGTCGCTCAGGCTGGAGGACAAAGTGTCAAAGTGGTTCTTCAGAGAGTTCCTGTCGTCTTCTTCATCCTCCAGAACCGAGCTGCCCACAGAACTCCCCTGGCTGAGCGAGTCGGTGTCTGAGGGCGGGGACAGCGTCGTCAACAACAACAACAACAACAACAGCAACGGCAGCAGCGTGCTCATCTTCCCGCCCACTGACCCACGTCCTGCTGCTGCTCCGTGCTCCCTGCCGAGCCGTCGAAGCAGGCGGAGTCCGGACTCAGCTCGGTGCGCCACACCTTCTGAGCTTTGACCTCTGGCTGGGGGTCACAGGTCACGGCCCCCACCTCAAACTCCCTGAGAAACCAAGCGGGTTTCAGTGGAGGAAGAAGGGACGCACACACGGCTGAAGAAGAACCTCACCTGTGGGTTAGGGTGGTGCTTGGGTGGAGGACGTCAGCTGGAATCGGGAGCACCTGAACATCGCACAGAGACAGCTGAAGGGGCTTCAAAAACAATAATGCAGACTTTCATCTGTCGGACGGTCCCTGAACGCATCGTGTGACAGAACAAAGCTTAAAATTGCTGCAAAAACTTCTAGTTATTATAGACTTTTATTTTGACGAGAGGAACGAGTCATTAAAATGTGAACGCACCTCCTCCTCTTCCTCGTCCTCTGCATCCTCCTCTTCCTCGTTTCCTAGCAAACTCTCCAGACTCTGAGGGTGGAAGTCGCCCTCCTCCTCCTCTTCCTCCTCCTCTTCCTCCTCCTCCTCTTGACTCTTAGTGGGACTCGGGGACAAGTTGGCGCAGATGGTCAGAGGGTTCAGATGCTCCGCCCACCGGTTCCTCGCCCGACAAGGCTCGGCAGCTGATTGGACGGCTGCGGAGGCTCCGCCCTGCCCCTGCTGCAGACACACGTGCGTTGGTAAAGGGGCGGGTTCAAAGGCACTTGAGCAGTGATCAGGTACGAACCAGTTTCCTGAACCACATGGGGAGCTTCCCGTTGGTCTGCAGCAGCTGAGCGCCTGAAACAACAAAGCACAGCGCAACCGGATTATTTATTAAAACATAATAAAGATATTCTCTTCCCCCCAACTCACCCTGAGCGCAGTCCGGCCTCGCTGGAGTCCCGAGGTCAGCCTCTTCCTCCTCTTCCTCCAGCTGGGAGGAAGGTCCGGTGATGAAGGTCTCCCTCCTGCAACAACAACAACAACATCAGCGCAGAACCAACACCTGCCCCCCCAGGTCCTCAGCCCCCCCCCTCACCTGATGTTCTGCTGGTTGCGTCGGCCGGTTGCAGGGGCGGCGGACACTTTAAGGCCCCGCCTCTTCCTCATGGTGCTGGTCATTTGAGAGTCCAGCCGCCAAACAAACACACAACTACACAACGACAGAATCATGAAGCGAAAACGTTTACTCGTCTCCATCCAGCCGGGTTCAAAGCGCGTATCCTGTTGGGTACATCAGCCAATCACAGGGCTGACAGAGCAAACGTTCACACCCACACAGGAAGCTTCTGGCTGTGCCCCTTTACCATCTCCACTACGACCAATGAGACTGAATAACTACCATAACGGCAGCCAATGACCCCGCCCACGATGACAGCCCCGCCCACGATGACAGCCCCGCCCACGACGAGAGCCCCGCCCACAATGACAGCCACCTGTCTCCTGACGCGGTGATCAGGTGTCTGCAGTCCGGACTGAACCTCATGCAGGTGACGATCTCTGAGGAAACAGAGCAGCGAGTCACACGTTGTCCAACGCGCTGGAGGCAGAAACATCCAGGATTTACTCACCCGAGTGTCCCAACAGGGTGGCGACACACTCGCCCGACTCGTAGTCGAAGATGGAGATGTTCTTATCGGAGCAGCTGGTGGCGAAGTAGGACCCGGACGGATCCATCTGGACCTGCAGAGCGTTCAGTAATCAATGAATGTGATCAGCGAGCATCCGCTCCGTTGGGTTCGAGCGGGTTGAATCAACCATCAACACCTTCAGCAAAGCTCCTTCGTCACTGCTGGAGCCCTTCAGACACTTCTTCAGCTTCCCCGTCTCCACGTTGTAGACCCTGGAAGAGGAGCAGCAGCAGTCAGCTCTTCTTCTCCTCTCGATGAACAGACTCTTCTTCTACTCTCGGACCTGACGTTGCGGTCCTGGCAGGCCACGGAGACCTGAGTCCTGGAGGAGTCCAGGTCCATGTCGTACAGCGTCGTCTTCTCCACCACGTGGTGCCTCCTGGAGAACCTGAGCCCCCCGTCCACCTGTCCCGCACGGAGGGGACGTCCCGTCAGACACGATGACGTCACACTAGGTGTGTGTCCATAGCTGCTGGTTCCCACCTGCTCAGCTGACATGAAGTAGATGCTCTTGTCGGCTCCACAGCTCACCAAGCCCACCTGAGGACTCTCGCCTGGACACAAGGAGCACCGGGTCAAACACCACCAGCTGCTTGGCTTCAGGGCACACAGGATCTACGTCACCTGTGAACTTGACGGCGGTGATGGAGGCCGAGTGGTCGTTGAGGGTCTGCTCCAGGGTGTAGTTCTTCTCCAAGTTGAAGATGTGGATCAGCCGATCCCTGCTGGCCGAGGCCAACAGCCTCACACCTGAAAGCATGACGTGATGATCGTGGTCAGGTGAGCCGTCCCTCCGCTGAAGGAGGAAGCACCTTAACAGCTCGTGTGCTGAAGGACCCTTCATGGGATAAGAGACGTGGAGTCGGCTGCTTGTAGCAGCAGAGATCCACCGAGGGATTGAGGCCATGAGGTGGATCACCGTTGCTGTACAGACAGACGTGATGTTTGTGCATTTGACTGGACGAGGACGTCCACACTGATGTTTGAGTAGCAGGACGAACGTGGTGTGTGTGGAACATGAACGCATTCGTGTGGTTACTGACACATGTATGACGCAACACACACGCCTGATTACGTTCATCAGTAAGAGGACACACGGTCAGTTCAGCTGCTCCTCTTCATCTTCTTCACAGACTGCGTATTTAGTCCATCCAGATATACATAGATATGATCTCTATGTTAGTCACGCTGTATATTTTACATGTGTGGTTCACTGGCCGTGACCTCTGACCCTACCTGTGGCTGTGGGGGAGAACTCCAGACACAAGACCTCGGAGTCGTGAGCTTCGATTTTCACCAGCTGGTCCAGGAACTCCAGACCAAAGATCCTGAGCAGACAGAAAGTTAACGCCTTAATTATGAGATTATTCTCACGTCCTGTTGGGACTTCAAACGCGTCGTAGTTCAACGTGTTCCACCTCAAAGACGATCACATGGGGGAATTAAACAACAATACACACTTTCTAAAGTGATTCATTTATAGAATTTAGTCTTTAGAAAAATAAATCTAAAATTAATGAATTTTCAAGACATATATTAATGAAACTCTAAATGTCAGTATCCTCACCGTAGGTTTCCACAACGGTCTCCGGCTGCCAGATGTTGTCCATCAGGACTGATGCTGAGAACTCTGATGCCCGCTTTCCCGTCAGCCCCGGCGGCAGGGGGCTCCACCCTCTCACTCTCAGCCTGGAGGTGCTGCGTGTTCTCCCCCACGTACAGAATCCTCTGCAGATCCTGCCACGCAAACAGGAAGTCTGACACTCGTCCGCTCAGACGCCGCGGCTGGTCCTGGGTACTTTTGCTCTCGTGTCCTTGCTGGTCTTACGTGGCTGTACTGGTTTCTGAGTCCAGTGGGGGGGTCGGTGTGCCACAGTCGGATGGTGTTATCTGATGAACAGGTGAGGAAGGAGGACGGCGCAAGAGCCAGAGACACACCTGAGAGCTCCGGATACACCTGAGGACAAGGACACCCCTTTAAATGTGGGTGTGTGTGTGTGGGTGGGGGTGGGTGTGTGGGTGCGTGTGGGTGGGGGTGCAGGTGTGTGGGTGTGGGTGTGTGCGTGTGGGTGCGGGTGGGTGTGTGGGTGTGTGTGTGTGTGGGTGCAGGTGTGTGTGGGTGGGTGTGTGGGTGGGGGTGTGTGTGGGTGTGGGTGCGGGTGCAGGTGTGTGTGGGTGTGGGTGTGGGTGGGTGCAGGTGGGTGTGGAGGTGCAGGTGTGTGTGGGTGGGGGTGCAGGTGTGTGCGGGTGGGTGTGTGGGTGGGTGCAGGTGTGTGGGTGCGGGTGTGTGTGTGTGTGCAGGTGGGTGTGGGTGGGTGTGTGGGTGGGGGTGCAGGTGTGTGTGTGTGTGTGGGTGCAGGTGTGTGTGTGTGTGCAGGTGTGTGTGTGTGTGTGTGGGTGCGGGTGCAGGTGTGTGTGTGTGTGTGTGTGTGGGGTGCGGGTGCAGGTGTGTGTGTGTGTGTGTGTGTTGGGTGTGGGTGCGGGTGCAGGGTGTGTGTGGGTGGGGGTGCAGGTGTGTGCGGGTGGTGTGTGGGTGCAGGTGGGTGTGGGTGGGTGTGTGTGTGTGTGTGGGTGCGGGTGCAGGTGTGTGTGTGTGTGTGTGTGGGTGTGGGTGTGGGTGGGGGTGCGGTGTGCCTGGTGTGTGTGTGTGTGTGGGTAGTGGTGTGGGTGTGGGTGCGGGTGCGGGTGTGTGTGTGTGTGGTGGGTGTGCGGGTGGGTGGGTGGGTGGGGGTGCGGTGGGTGTGTGTGCGGGTGGGTGTGCGGGTGGGTGCAGTACCTCGACGCTCCACACACAGCTGCTGTGGTACAGGGCAGAGTACAGCTTGCAGGCGCTCCTTAAGTCCCGGACGTCCCACACGTACACGCTGTGGTCGTTGTACACGCTCGTCAGGAGCCGCGCGGTGGGGTCAAAGGTCACGGCCACGGTGTCGGGGGTAGCGGGCGGGCCCGTCGGGAGGCGGGCTGCGTGGAAACAACGAGACTTAGTGGGTGGGGGCAGCAGCCGTGTCCCCCAGCAGCTGAAGGCGGGCGAGCGCTCGTACCCGTGCGGAGCGCTCTGCGTGAGGTCCACGCCGAGGCGGTGGGGCCGCTGCAGGGTGCTGACGTACTGCAGGCCGGACGAGCCGAACACCCTGATCGCCCCATCAGCACAACCGCAGAAGATCAAGTCCTCGCTGACCACCAGGCAGCTCGCCGCCGCCGTCTGTCAGCAACGACAACGCCGCCTTATTCAACAGGCTTTCATTTCTAAAACCAACCAGCCGGCAGCGCGGACTGTTGATCACGTGATGCCACGCGTTGGCCCGCGTGCACGTCTTGCTGTGAGCTAACGGGTGCAGCGCGCAGCGCTCTGACTGCCGGGGTGTCCTGCCACTGACCTTGAGGTCGACCCAGGCCTCCAGGTTCCGGCTTCTGTTGAACAGACACAGCAGACCCGAGCTGGTAACGCTGTAGGTGCTGGACGCCATGAGGCCTCGCCCGCACGCCACACCGCTGAACACGCTGTTCTTATGGTCTCCTAGCAACCCTGACCGACCAATCAGAGGCACCGTGCTGTTCACCTGCAGGCGGGATGAGAAGACAGGGCTCAGAGTGCTGCTTGGCGGGCAGGTGAGCAGCAGCTGGCTGAGGAGATGCTGGTACCCGTCGCTCTCTGGAGGCGTCCAGGTACCAGAACTTCAGGTGTCGGTTTCCCGCTGTGACGAAGTAGCTGTTGTCCTGAGAGAAGGAGACGGCGAGCACTCTGCTGGACACTTTGTTGGAGGCAATGATGGCACCTTTCTGCTCAAAGGCACAAGGTCAGGAGGACAAACGTCATCACGTTTCAGTTGTCAATTACTTGCAGCAACCCCACAGAGTGCACGATGCCACGTGGCGCTCACCCTCCAGTCCCACACGCTGACCGTCATGTCATGCTGGTACCCCACGGACACGATGTAGCAGCTGTTGGTGGAGAACGCCACGCAGGAGACGCCGTATTTATGAGTCTGGGCCTCAGCCACCTGACCTCTGCCCAGCTCCCACACCCGCACGCAGGGCATGTGGCCGCTCTGAAACACACACACACACACACACACACCGCTTCACCTGTGCTCCCTGGTGTCCCCCCAGAGTGTGTGTGTGTGTGTGTGAGCCCCCACCTCTCCAGTGACCAGGTGTTTTCCATCATGGGAGAAGGCCAGAGTGCTGAAGGGCTTCCTAAAACACAACACACCCTTACTTCCGTTTCCCTCCCCAGAGGTGCATGATTGACGGTGCAGCGCCGGACTCACCGGGACGTGTTGATGATGTGGTTCTGTTTGTTCTTCTTTGGGTGGAGCAGCACGATGACACACCTGGAACACAGACACAGGTCTTCACCTGGACGCCCTGGGCCTACAGAGGGGGGGCGGGGGAGGCGGGGCTTACCCTGCTGGGTACGCGATGAGTCCGGACTTTGGGTTGCAGGTCAGACCGCTGCTGCTGGCTGTGCTGACACCCAAAACCTTCTCCAGACTCACCTGAAACAACACGCACACGTTGACATTCAGTCAGTCCGACGTTCTCACGTCAACTAAACACAGGAACAAGTTGATCAGGTCCACTTTCACAATAAAAGCATCCCAGAAGAAGCCAACGGGTGAACCTTAGTAAAGCTTGAGGCCGCAGCGTGTTGGTTGTAAAGTCTCGCGTGTGTTGCAGAGCGATTCACCTCCAGAACAACAGGCGGAGTCACGTGTATTTATTTGTTTATTTAAACTAGGCTTTAGACTAGTTTATGCTTAAGTCAGCTTGAAGCACTACAAGCAACACTCCTCGTTTACAGCAGCAATCTATTATCTAACCACAACATGTTTTAAATATATTATTATTGAATTAATAAAATACACGAAGGTTTCAGCTGTATGTGAGTCAGCTGATCGGAGGTCTGCACCAACAATTACTTCATGACATTTGATCTCAGGTGGATTTACTGGTCAATGGTGAAGCACCTTGGAGGACATCAGTCGAAGGAACAGAACTATTGAGGCCGGAGTTATATCTCTATATTAGATTAGAATTAAGATTGTATCTATTTATATATCTTATATCAGATGTCATCAACATAGTGGCTAACGAGCCGTTAGCTTGTTGCTACGAGCAGTTAGCAGACAAAACTACCGTTATGCCGCTGCGGTGATTTAGAAGTTGATCAAATGTTGACTTTTAGGAGATTATCTCTATTTCATCCGTTAATCCGTTAATAAGTTTGGTAACAGTTCGTCTTCAAACTTCTTGAAAAGTTCCAAACTCGCCAGCGGAGCTGGAAGAACCGCCGCTGTGACGGTGATGCTAATGCGGAGCTAACGACGCGGTGATGCTGGCGGTTAGCGAGCAGTTAGCTCGGACGTACCCGGCTGCTGGAGCTCTTCTTGTGGCTCAGACGGCTCTTCCTCTCCGCTGATTGTTTCCTCTTCGCGGGGTTAGCCGAGCCGCTGTCTGCTCCCTCCGCCATCCTCTCACCGCGGTGTTGGTCCACGAAAGCCCGCCGATGAGAAGAAGCAGGAGCCGGTCAGTTGATCAGAACCCCTCGCAGAGGATGATGATGATGATGGAGGGCCAGCTTAAGTTCACGAGCTCTGCCAAAGGAAACCTGACACTTCTCAATGCGGCGGGACTCGAGTTCGAACTGAGCCCCGCCCATTGCCCTAGCAAGTGACCAATGAACAGCATAGCTCCACCCTACACCCGCATAACACCCAATGGACAGCCGAGGAGAGACTTCGTACCGCCCACCGTCCGCAAACCCACTGACCAATAAATATAAATATATATATGATATCATTGTCAAAAAAGGTCCAAAACTCGTAAAGCCAATATAATTAGAAAATTAACGAAAATAAAATAACAATCATGTGAAAATTTCTTTTAAAAACCCGATATACATGTATATCACAATCATAACATATCAATTCAATTCATTTTATTTTGTAACGCCCAAAATCGCGAATTACAAATCTGCCAGAGGGCTTTTTGGTCTGTACACATCAAACCATCACATCAGCACCGGAAAATCTCCCCCAAAAATCAAGACCCTTCCACGAGGAAAAAGGGGAAACCTCAGTGAGAGTCAGAGGATCCGTCTCCTGATGGACCGACTACAATGACGTCATGTGGACACAATGAACAATGTAGAAGATGAACAACACATTCAGTTCATATGACAGAGATGATTCAAATCATTGTGAGTAGTAAGCAGGACCACTGCAGGACCACCACCATCACGTAGAACCACCATCAGATGGAACCTCCATCAGATAGAACCTCCATCACATAGAACCACCATCAGATAGAACCACCATCTATGTAGAACGACCATCAGATAGAACCACCATCAGATGGAACCACCATCACGTAGAACCACCATCAGATAGAACCTCCATCACGTAGAACCACCATCAGATAGAACCTCCATCACATAGAACCACCATCAGATAGAACCACCATCAGATAGAACCACCATCGGATATAAACACCATCAGATAGAACCACCATCACATAGAACCACCATCCACAGAAGCCTGTGGGGAGGGAAAGCCTTTAGGGGAGGGTAATGTTGGATCATGATGACAGTAATAGTAATTTGATTAATATTTGAAATAATAATGATATTTCTGGAAAAAAATATATTATTTATAATCATTTATTAATCCCACATGGGGAAATTATTCTCTGCATTTGACCCACCCTCAGTTATTAAGAGCAGTGTGCTGCTGTGAAGCGCCGGGGCTTTAGTGTCTTGCTCAAGGACCCAGAGACAAACTAAGGAGAGAACCATCGGCACAGGAGTGTTTCCTGTGCCGATGGTGGGTTTCGGGGCAGAGGATGTTGTATGTGTACAGACTGTAAAGCCCTCTGAGGCAAATTTGTAATTTGCGATTATGGGCTTTACAAAATAAAATGAATTGAATTGAATTGAACTCGGATCGGATCGAACTGTAAAGTGACAAATATTAGTTATTTTTTTGCACAACTTTATTAGCATTGTTCCAACAAAGTGATGGCACATTTTATTTGTTTTTGTCTGATGGAGCAATCTGGTTTACATGGAAGTGACTTAAAATGCATTTATTCTATTATTAATTAAAGCACATATGGAGTCACAAAGTGTTATTTCAATAAAAATTCAGCATGGACCATTTTGTTGGGACCCAAACATTTTTCTGAGAACCACTGGTTTAAGTGCTGCGTTTTACCTGAGTATTGCTGCTGACCATGTCTAATATTTATATATAATACTACTACTACTACTACTACTACAAAAAATAATTTATAATATTGACTAAAATGAACAAAATAGCAATCAAAATGATTAAAAAAATAACCTGTATAAAGACACAAAAGAATGAGTTGTGACTAAGTATTACCTGTATTTATGTACAAGAGGTAATTGGAGTACCTGGCTGCATTGATTTGTTGGAGGCCACTATGAAACTTGAGGGAAGTGTTATACATGTTAATTACATACAAGATGTTTCATGTATTCTACAGAGTGAAACAGGAAAGCACTGATATGTAAAGATAATGTGAAGAAAGACTGGACACACAAGCGGAAGATAATTGGTTTTATTAACAAAATAGTTCACCATAAAAGTAAAGCTTCTACAAATTGACAGTACTTCATTTGAACAGATTTTACTGAAGCTTTAACACCACAAGGCATCTGCTAATGAAGTCAGGCGTTAAAACAGATTATTCAGCTTTATTGTGTCTCACTGAGACGAAGGCAGTGAATCCCAAACTATTCCCATAAGTTAGAACCCTAAAACCCATTTAATCCTTAAACTATTATTCAAACTACACTATCAAAAAGGCAAAGCCCCAACAACTGGGTGATAGCATGTTAGCTTCCAGCTGCTGACGATGCTAACGTGTAGCTGAAGAGTTTAGTCCAATAGAACTCACAGTAAAGTGATTATTACTTTATTTACGTATATTGTAGCTGAGAATTCAAAGCGCAGGAGAAAAATGTTCCTACAAGTTAAACTCTAAGACAAACAAGGCTGTTAACAGCAACCATCATTTCAGAAAAAACAATCTAAAATATTCACAACAACAATAAACCTTCATGAGCTCATCAGAAAGACAAAAACAGTAAAATATGTCCCACTACGTCCCTCTAGAACAACTTCCTCTTCTTTGTCCTTACAAAACAATAACACGAAAGAAAAGGCTCAAAGCATCAACAGATTAGTGCATTCAAGGTCCAAACAAAACACAAAGTTAACTTCAAACCAAAGAGTTTAACAACACAGAGACAGTCTGCTGGTAGAGATCAACAAGTCACATCTTCTCACTCCTCTAATAGCACGTGGAGTTCCACCAGGAAGCATCCTGGAGCCTCTATTGAACTAAAGGAACAGACTCACAATCATCTTGGAGGTCCAGCGGTTAAAGGAGCCTCACATTAGAACATCAGACAGGTGCTTTGTCTTCAACATCTTAGAAAATCAAACCAAATTCCTAGAACGCACAAAGAGGAAATTACCTCAAAGAAAGCTATGGCCCTGGATCCATAGTTAGCTTAGCACAAAGACTGAAAGCAGAGGGAAAATGCTACACAGTAAAATATGTGTATGGGAGGTGATCATTTTCCACAAACAGCTGGAACTATTGTGTTTGACGACTATTTGAGAAGTGAGATTGGATTTAAATCTGTAAAATGCTGCACATTTTAGGATAGAAAGCGGCAGTTTATCCCTCTTTTCTCTCCCCTGATGATGATTAGATGAATGATAAGACAGTAACGTCCATGAAGATGTCATTTAGTAATAATAATTGTTTAGGTAAACTTTTGACTGAAGGAGAAGTGGGAATCATTAGTAACATTCATTCATTGTTTAGCTTGAAACTTACTTTACTTACTCGTGGTTGGCTGATTTTCCGTGATGGACGTTTTTTTAAATGAAATAATGAAAGGTTTTAATGGAATGCTGGATCCAATAACCTAATAAGAATTATGAGGAAGTGAGATTGAATGTATAAAGTACATGTTGCCGACACACTGAACTTGTCCATCCAGTAATTAAACGTTTTTCTGCGACATCGAGGATCTGAAGAGGAAAAGCAGCTTTCAGACCGACGTTCTTCTTTCTGCTCACCTGAAGGTTAAACGGTGTGATTGACAGGCGTGGCACCGATCAGCTGAGGGAGGGACTTGGAGTGTGTGTGAGGAGGTCAAAGGTTATTCTCCGGCTGGTAATCTGATGTTAAAGCAGTTAAAGTCTGGTCTCCGGTGGGATTTATAGTCCAGTAAAGTGGTGTAAACAGAGGAAGCTTCTCTTTGGGAGGCGGCAGGAGGCTCCAGTTCGTAGGTTCAATTTAACGACTCAGGTGAGTCTGTACATTCAGGGTTTGAGTTCAAACAGAAGGCCACTTCTCACGTTCCTTTTCTTATTCACACTAGAAAAATAATTACCGAAATAGAAACATCTGTGCTGCAGCAGACTTGAGGAAAGTTTAAGAGCGGTTCATTCCTTTGACGACCTGCGAGAGAAAAGAAAGATTTACTGACTAAAAGGTTGCAGAGTTTAAACAATGTACAGAGAGTGATGAAGTCAAACTGGGATCTGAAGCCAGTTGCGTTGGTTAAACAGGTGTTTGGTGCGGCGGCAAATCACCCAAAAGTCCAGAGCGCAAATCAGTTTGATGCGCGTGAATCAAACATCCGCGAAGGTGTTTTCTACGTGTTGCTGTTGTTCTTTTTGACAGTAAGAGGGCGGAGCCAGTCACCAGGGGGCGGAGCCAGTCACCATGGTCTCTACACCTGATTGGTTACAAACCCGTCTTTGGATTGGCTGGCGTGAAGCCCGTTTCCGCCCTCTTACTGTCAAAAAGAGCAACGCGTAGAAAACACCTTTGAGCAGAGATTCGCCTCTCGAGCAAATATCTGACGCGAGACGGACTTTTGCTCGCGGCTCTGGAATTCGGCGTGATTTGTGCTCTGTAGCGGGGACGCGGTGGCGTGGAGGTTTACCGAGCTTCAGGTCGCTGCTCAGGACCGGAAGACATGGACGGCTCGCACGACGTACTGGCGGCAGATGGGACACTCGCTCATCCTTTTGCCGCACTTTGTGCAGGTGATCATGTGACCACACTCCAGCAGGACACAGTCAATGGGACAGTCCATGCAGATCTTACAGAGGTTCTCCTCCTGGCCCGGAGATCCACCAACACCACCGGACTCTGGGGGGACAAAGCGGGAACCTGTTCATCTTCTCACATATTTGATCCATTTACAGTGTGGTGAGGAAATAGTTTGGTCCTGACAAAGGAATTCAGATTCTACCAGTGGTCAGTAGAGGTTTGGCCTTCGCTTAAAACTAGGAATACAAATACAACTACCCAAGGGAATAGAAATATATAGATTGTAGTATTTTTGTTGATAATGATATAAGATAATGTGAGGAGGAGCTTCTTCAGTTAGACGTAAGGTGAAAACAGAAAACTCACCTGAGGAGTTCACAGCGTTGGCGGCTGAAAAACAGAAAACACATTTACACAAAATTGAACAAAATGTTGCCGCGTTGAGTGTTCCGCTCCCATTACAGCGCACGAGTTCTGCTCTGTAGTGGCCCTCTATGGTCCTGTAGCGGCCCTCTATGGTCCTGTAGCGGCCCACTATGGTCCTGTAGTGGCCCTCTAAGGTCCTGTAGTGGCCCACTATGGTCCTGTAGCGGCCCACTATGGTCCTGTAGTGGCCCACTATGGTCCTGTACCTATAGTGGCCCACTATGGTCCTGTACCTATAGTGGCCCACTATGGTCCTGTAGCGGCCCTCTAAGGTCCTGTAGCGGCCCATTATGGTCCTGTAGCGGCCCATTATGGTCCTGTAGTGGCCCTCTAAGGTCCTGTAGTGGCCCTCTAAGGTCCTGTAGTGGCCCTCTAAGGTCCTGTAGTGGCCCTCTAAGGTCCTGTAGTGGCCCTCTAAGGTCCTGTAGTGGCCCTCTAAGGTCCTGTAGTGGCCCTCTAAGGTCCTGTAGCGGCCCTCTAAGGTCCTGTAGCGGCCCATTATGGTCCTGTAGTGGCCCTCTAAGGTCCTGTAGTGGCCCTCTAAGGTCCTGTAGCGGCCCTCTAAGGTCCTGTAGCGGCCCACTATGGTCCTGTAGTGGCCCTCTAAGGTCCTGTAGTGGCCCTCTAAGGTCCTGTAGTGGCCCACTATGGTCCTGTAGTGGCCCTCTAAGGTCCTGTAGTGCCCCACTATGGTCCTGTAGTGCCCCACTATGGTCCTGTAGTGGCCCTCTATGGTCCTGTAGTGCCCCACTATGGTCCTGTAGTGGCCCTCTATGGTCCTGTAGTGGCCCACTATGGTCCTGTAGTGCCCCACTATGGTCCTGTAGCGGCCCACTATGGTCCTGTAGTGGCCCTCTAAGGTCCTGTAGTGCCCCTCTAAGGTCCTGTAGTGCCCCTCTAAGGTCCTGTAGTGCCCCTCTAAGGTCCTGTAGCGGCCCTCTAAGGTCCTGTAGTGGCCCACTAAGGTCCTGTAGTGGCCCACTGTGGTCCTGATACTTACCCAGTAGGTTCTGCTGGTCCTGGTACAGCCGGTTCACTCTCTCCATCAGCTCCCACTTCTCACAGCAACCTTTGTAGTTGACGAAGTTCCTGGCGAGGATTTCCTTCAGCTGTCGAACGCTGAGCCCCTCGATGTCATCCGGGCAGCTCAGATCCGAAAGAGAAGCCCGGCGGCCTGAGACCGGACCTCCTCCGGATCCCAGTTCTGAACCAGACAGACAAAAGACACTGTAGTGTCCTGAAGAGCTGAAGAACCTGAAGAATCTGAAGACCTGAAGAATCCAGTCTCAAAAACAAGACCCTGGCTTGAGTCTCCTTCCTGGTGTTACCTGGTCTTCGTCCGCAGCATTGGGCTCAGCGGGGGCGGGCTCTTCTGTGGGCGGGGGCGGGGCTTCGGCAGACGGGGGCTCTGGGATGGAGGTCGGGGAGTCGGGAGTCGGGGAGGAGATGCAAATGGTGGGGTCGGAGGTCACGTCGGGGGGGGTGGAGGTCGGAGTCTCGGGGACGGACCCGTGGGACGGCAAGGACCGCTGTCCGAGGACGAGCTCCACCAGCTCTTCCTGAATAAGACGGACACACAGGTTTAGCGCTCCAACGCGGCGGCTACGTTCATGCTGCCGGGCGGAGGACAGGAAGTGACCTTCTCTCTGCACAAGTGGGTGGAGACCTCATGCAGGTGCAGGTAGTCCCGCAGCTCCTTCACTTTCAGCTTCATGAGCTCCGCCCGCTCCAGCAGGTTGCCGTAGAAACGCTGACAGGTGTGACAGAGGCGGGGGCGGGGCTCTAGCTGGGCGGAGCAGCGGCAGCAGTAGTCCTTCTGGCAGTCGACACAGACATGCTGGTGGGGAGAGAGACGGGCACCTGTCAATCATATCAAACCTCTGACAAAACTCCTCCAGTATTAGAATGAATAAAGTTTTCTCCTGAAGTGTAGTAGAATCATTGATCAGGACGTCATTGATTAGTTTCCCATCTCTGATGAACGGTGATTAGTGCAGCACACGGAACCTTAGCAACTGAGCCACTAGATGAATCTTCATCTATTGTTGGAGCGATCAGTGGTCCAGGACAATCCAGGACAACATTGGGACACTTATTATTTCTTATTAATGTGTATTTAGTAACTAAAGTGAAGTTAACACACATGAGCGCCAACATTTAGTCGACTACTATGTTGTCATAATGTTGTCTGAAAATTACAATAATATCGTATATCGCAATTCATGGGGAAATAATCGCACAACAAAGTTATTGTGACAACAGACGCTGAGGAAGTTAGTGGGAGACGTTTCACGACTTATTGATCCATAATCGAGTTGACTCATCAATGGAGCCCTCGTTAGATTTAATACTCACTTTTAGTGAAGTGGATCTAGTCGCAGTATTTGTTTGATGCTCTGAAGCTTCAAGTCGGCAATTTGACCGTTTATTGTATTGTTATATTGGTGAACAGAAAGTGACCATATGTACCATTAATAGAGACCTGTCAATCAGTGTGTAGCCCCGCCCCGAAGCATCCCCTGCTTTATGGCCCGTTAGGGTCTAAATGTACCTTCGTGGCAGGTGTGTCGAGTCTCCCCCCGCAGGCCTTACAGGTGTGTTCGGGCGGAGGAGACGGCTGGCTGCTGAAGGCAGAGTTGGTGTAGGACTGGTGGCGTCGCTCGGCTCCACCTGCCGGTTCTACGTCAGCGGCCGAGTCCAAACACAACCAGTTACAGCAGGACGCGAACATGCCTGAGAAACACACACAAGCATGTAGGGGTTCCAAGGCCACGGCATTGGTGACTCAACTTTATCATGAAATCCGTGTTCTTGTGAAATGTTTGGTATATTCCTGTCTACTTAGAAGAGTACGATCGAGGGGTTTTATGTCTTTGAATACTTGCAAATACACATCAATGTGGTTTACGTTCAATCTGGCAACGTTTCACAAAATAGGGCCATTATTTAATAAATAACCCGGCGGGTCAGAATAAATCATCTGAAAGGAGTTTATCTGCAGATGTTTGACACCTTTAAACTGACTAAGTAAGAAGACTTTCACTACAAGTGAATCCAAGTACTTTCCCACTTTGCTCGGTGTTGTTGTTGTTGTTGTTGTTGTGTGTCATTGTCCCGGATAAAGCGCGCTGTGTCGCATGGCGGAGTTCGACTCTTCTTTAATGAAGGATCAGCAGATGAACTTCACCCAGCTGGAGGGGCTCACAGGTCACATTTAACGGAGAGAAATGCGCTCGTTCGCTGCTGGCGGGCGGCCGAAGGGGAGAAGGTCTCCGGCAAAGACGTAAACATCACACGGGGATCATTTAGAACGGTTCTCCGGTCCACCGGGCATCGGGCTCCGTTAAATCCCGCATTATGTGAACGGAGTCAGGCGTGGGGAGTCTGGAAAGTCCCCCGGGCTGTTATTAAGCTAACGGCTAGGCTAACCACAACATAGTAAGTAAAGTTTAAACAACGAAAGAGTCGAACAAACACAAACCATCACAAAAGAAAACAGTTACAACAGCTTCGATTATCTCGGTTAACAGTTTAACCGACAACTAACCGGGAGAATGATCAACGTAGTGACGCGTCTTACCTGTAACCGACGGGCTGTGCGGCTAGCAGGGAGCTAACGCGGAGCTAACTAGCGTTAGCTACCAAACACCAACTAGTTGCTTAGTGGGTTAAAGTTCCGGCTGTTAGCGGGTCAACATGGCGCAGAGGTTCCTCCTGACGCAGCGACGAGAGGAGCCCGAGAGGAGAAGAACCAGGAGGAACCAGGAAGAGGCGACACACGCACACACACACGCACACACACACACACGCACGCACACACACGCGCACGCACACAGTTGCGTACGCACCTAAACACACACGATGGGACGAACCAAAGTATTTTAACATGTATTTATTTAAGTGACCCAGAAGTAAACGATTGTTACTTAAGTTTTTGTTTGACTTTTTCCACTTTATAAACCTGTAGAATGTAGTACTACATCTCCCATAAGCCACAGGTAACTATAGTACTACATCTCCCATAAGCCACAGGTAAATATAGTACTACATCTCCCATAAGCCACAGGTAACTATAGTACTACATCTCCCATAAGCCACAGGTAACTATAGTACTACATCTCCCATAAGCCACAGGTAAATATAGTACTACATCTCCCATAAGCCACAGGTAACTATAGTACTACATCTCCCATAAGCCACAGGTAAATATAGTACTACATCTCCCATAAGCCACAGGTAAATATAGTACTACATCTCCCATAAGCCACAGGTAACTATAGTACTACATCTCCCATAAGCCACAGGTAACTAGTGAGGTAGTACCATATGAGGTAGTACTAGCAGTATGTGAGGTAGTACTAAGTACAATGACTCAGAGGCAGCAGTGATGACGATGAGAGTTTTATTGCCATAAACAGTGTAGGAAAACAAAGTAAAGTTAAAACAGCCCGTTGTAGTCTATAGTACAGAGCACAAAGCGCCGCGGGTCACAACCCGACCCGCTCACATCTGGACCAGGTTCAACATACAGGAGGTACGGATGAAACGCAGGAAATGACAGCTTTAACTAAAAATAAAACTTCATTGATCGTATCGACAGTGACAATAATTTGGACTTCTGCGGTTCATTCAAAACTTCAATCTTTACAAAAAAAAACTTTATTGGTAGCAGTCGGCGTCGACTAGATGCACACGGATCAAACAAAACAGCACGAAGACCTTTAGTTTCTTCTGTCCTGCTGGTGACACTGGGAGGAGAGCGCCACCCGGGGGTGAGATCAATCTGTGCTGCAAGAAAGGAAACATTTAGCACACCAGTAAGCCATCATCTACGTCCCGTGTGACATCACTTCCTGTCTCACCTCTCCTCCCCTCCTCAGCCTCTCACGGTTGTTCTGGGGGAGCCGCCTCCTCTCGCGGTTTGGCTCCACCAAAGATGGCAGAGTTTGGGTTGGCGACCTGGTTCAGCGGCTCCGAGACGGTCCGAGGCTTCAGCTGCAGCCGAGGCCTCTGCGCTCGCTCCTCTGCGCCACACAGACAGACACGTTAAGCAACCACCAACTCGCATTTCCTGGGATGTATTCCTGTGCGCTGGCCGTGATACTCATGATACGTGGAATAAACTGTCCTGTACAGGAGAAACCCGACATGCAGGCGTCCTGCAGGACTCAGTCACACAAGCTGATTGGATTTCATCAAGTCCGGCTCTGGTTAACCGATGTACTGACTCAACCTCTTCTTGAATCGTCTCATCCTGTTGGGCCCACCTAGGATGAAGAGGTGCGTAATACGACACTCGACTGGGACGTCTGAGTCCAAACCCCCCCGGTCTCTGAAACCTGAGCACGGAATGGATGCCGTGGAAAAACTGCATCAAATTGATATCATGGCGGAGCCGCGCTGAGGCAGAGAGATGTGACGCATATCAGCGGCGACGTTTCGCTGTCGGCTTCTTAGTGTTCAGTTTAGCACCCCGTCATTCGTAACGAGTGATTGTGGGCGTTGTCGGCGAGCAGACTTGCCAGCGGCGTGCGTTGGCTCATGATGACTGAGGTCATGTGGTCTCAGGAGTCCTGACGGGGTTCGCGGGGTTAACTGGAAGTGAATCTACAAACGGCAGCTTTCTTTGAGTAGTTGATTCAGACGGACATCAAGTTAGTTCCACGCAGGCCGAAGATGAACGACACGGTCACGGCGGCGCATTCTTCGCTCTTTTGAGGGATTAGAGAAACGATTAAACGCGGACTTGGACGCGTCTGTGGCGGCCGTGCTCAGGCGCCGATGTGGAACAAACTCCTCTCAGGGACGTCTACGGATTCCATCGCTGTGGCTGACGATGGATTCTCCATCATTCAAGTCCCCCAAACTGCACATGGCCTCAGACTATGAAGCAGCTTGTTTCTACCCAGTTGTGGCGCCACCTACTGGTGGAAAGAATTCTGCTTGTTGGCAACCGCTGAGTGCAGGAAGTGATGGAATACTTTAGAAATGTATCTTCTAGCACCAAGCAGGAAGTCACAAGCCCGTGAGGAGGCTGCAGGGGCCCGATTGTGGTCACGCTACCTTCTTCTAGTGAACGAGGTTCTGGGGATACGAGCACGGTCAGGAAATTGGACACGGAAGGCCGTTTTTACAAAAATGATCATCAGAAATCCCAAAAGAGGTGTTTTACCATCAGACGGTTCCCTGAAGTCCGGTGTTGTTCCGCGGGGGGGCCCCTCTCGGAAGCGAGCCGGGCCTCCACCTCCAGGTCCTCCTGGTCCTCCAGCTCCGCCCCTTCTGTCTCCAGGTCGACTGCCGGCGCCGCCTCGACCCCGTGACCCCATGAAGTCGTCATCTCTGAAACCTACAGAGCAGACAGGTGAGACGCTCTCAGGTGTCCTTCAGCGCTTGGAACCTGCGAGCTGACTGGTGAGCATGAGATGGTTGAGGTGAAAGGCATGATGGGAAAACGGCAGGGTACGGTCCAGCTGGGTCGGCAGGTGGAGCCACGCTATGGGGTCAAAGGTTAACAGTGTGGGCGGAGCAGTCTGTGGCCAGCTAGAGACGTGATCAGGTTAATATCAGTCAAACTAATTCATCATTGATTGACATATCGATTCTTCTCATCCGTTGACCCCACGTCAACTGCTGCGTTTTGATTGGCCGGCCGGCCGGGATCAACTCTGACCGCACCTCCTCCTTGCTGCTCGAAGTCCTCATGGGAATCCCGTCCTCCTCTGGGAGCACCTCTAGAACCTCCTCGGCCTGCAGACGACAGGGGGGAGTTCATCACTGAGAGGGGGAGGGAGGAGAGAAGAAAAGGGGGAGGAGAGAGGGGGGGATCTGGAAGGCGGGCCTCCTCCAGGAAGGAGTTGAAGATCACCACCAAAGAGGCAGAGCTTGTTAGTGGTGGTCAGAGAGGAGACGTTAGAGAGCTCGAATATTTCATGTTAACCTGCAGACCAGGTGAGGAGGGAAGGGAAGGGGGGGGGGTGGAGATGAAGATGAGTTGATGAAGGGATGAAGAGTCCTCCTCCTCCTCCTCCAGGTCAAACATTCAGACGTGGAGGAGAGACTTGGACTTGTTGAGGGGTTGTCACCTACTTCCTGTCTGGTCTTCGGCGTTCATACCTCTGGCGTCGTCTTTCCTGAAGCCAAATCCTCCTCCTCCTCCTCCTCCTCGCTCTTGCTTTCGGCCCTCTGCGATATCAACCCTCAGTGACCTCTGATCTAGCAGCTGCAGGGGTCAGAGGTCACAGGAAATTAACAACACTCTCAAAAGGTTCCCCTTTAAACTCACAAATAACAGAACCAGCAGCGAGATCATTCGGAAGTTGGTCAAAACAAAAACATCTGAGAAATGATGCGTCTGGACCTCAGGGAGGAAAGACGAGGAGACGACTCCATGTGAACATCACGGTAACCAATGACGACCAAGCAAACGCTAAATGGACTCCAACACCAGACACACGCGCTCGTTGTCATGAACACATTTAATTGCGATAAACGATATTTTATGCAACTTTTATTATGACAATATAACAGCATAATAATAAAAGTACGGCTCAAAGAACAAACACGTTTTATGCTTCACAACAGTTGGACGTTAGAATCAGAATGTGAAAAAATGTTTCCTAAATGAATAAACCAAATAAAAAAAGGGCAAGAGACCCGGAGTGGGCGAAGCTCGTGCAACGCGGTCGGTTTGAGAAAACGCGGAGCTTCAACCTCCGGCAGGGCGACGCGCTCCTGCAGGAGAGACAAGCGGCGTTCAAAGAGACGGACGAGCAGTAGTTGTTTTAGGTGAGATTTTAGCCGTGTTGTGTTTCTATACGTCGGTGTACCGGCTCCTTTCTCTCGTTGTGGCTTCGTAACAAAAGTCCATTTGGACTTTGTTTATCCCAATAGTCTGTGGACGTCACTAAAAACAACCCTTCATAACACGGTGGGTTCACGCGTCCCCTTTGGGTGTGTGTGTGTGTGTGTGTGTGTGTGTCGCTGCCTGAGCCCCCAAACCTCCAACAAAGCAGGCAAGAGGACGTCGCGGTTAAAATGTTGGTGATCGCAGAACCCAAATGATCGCGCTCATTTCCACACGTCACCCGGCGTCCAGACACGGGCTTTTTGTTCAGGTGTTCATAATACTTGTAACAGTACGGCAGTCCACACGTTTGCCTTCAGGTAAGTTGTCTGTGATAAACAGTTCAGTTTGTCGGATGTCAGATTGAAGTAAGAGAAACAGAGTGAACTTTTATATTAGAAAAAAAGCAATAAATGGTCCTACTGAGTGTTGTGAGAATATGGTATGGACGAGTTTAGATGTGAACTGGTTAAACTAGTACTGTCACTAGGATAGTTACATGCTCCTTGTTTGAGAATTGTGAAAATACAATAAAAAGATTCCATAAAATAGAATAAGACTCCTTTTTGTATCAGGATCAAGGTGAATTAAGGTGACAGGTGCTCAATCTGGTCCCAACACAACCCTGTCCTTGATCATCGACAGAAGTCTACCAGGAGAACACTAGCAGCATGCTGGTTTTCCAAAGCATCACTCACAGCTCCGTCGTAGGTCAGAGCTTCTTTTAGAGATTCCACATCTTCAAACTCCACGTAACAGAACCCTGTAAGACAAACACACAGTGAGCCTCAGCCGATTCTCCGACACATAAAACGCACCACGACCCCTGACCTTTGAACTTGTCCGTCTCTTTATCTCTGACCAATCGAACGCTGCGCATGTTGAGCTCTTTGAAGATGATGTCGATGTCACCTTGCACCGTGTTGAAGGGCAGGTTTCCCACGTACGCCGTGAACGGAGGCTCCGTGGGGAGCTCCTTCTGCTTCCTGGAGCCGCCGGAGCCGCCGCCGCCTCCACGGGGCCTGGAGGGGGGGGGACAGAGGGCATCATGGGTATGTATAGATATCTAGATTCAGATCTCTGCTCCAGATGCTCATGCTCTTCCATGGACTTCATGCAGGTAAACAGACTCCACCCAGCCGGCGCTCTGCTCCGACACCGACGCTGCACGCAGAGACGCAGCTTCTTCTCTCAACGCAAACACCATTCACTTATCACGTGTAATATATTATTATCTGTGAGGGACACGCGGCACAGACCTCCTTTAAAAACTGTATTTAATAGTGTACATGTTGCCACCTTATGTATAGTGTTATATTTGCCTTATACGTGTCTCGACTGTTGGTCAAATGAAAACCATGACAGGTTTACGACAGTAAAGTGAAGAATGGGGGATTCTATTGCTTCTGGGAGTAAATTCATCTCAAACTAACCAACCGTATTTCTACGCTGTGGTACTTTTACTTAGAAGTAGTTATCTGCACTTTCCTCAGAGGAGCAGCAAAGCTGGAGAGAGGCAGCGTGTGGGGTTGACTCTCGCGGCTCTCAACATGGCGGCAGGATAGCGGTTAGCGCGTAGCTAGTGGAGCCGACCTCACTGGCCAGCGGGGCGTGTGCACCGAGCGCAGAAGCTGTGACATCATCCAACAGACGACTGGCAGCGATGACACGTGGTTTATGACGTGAAACGATCGTCCAGACGCAAATCAAACGGCTCACAGGTGAATAACAACAACGATAACATGACGTCAGATATATAGAGTTTATTCTAAATGACATATTGTTAATAATATTAGTCTATTATTGAGGTTAATTCAAATAGTTTATTATATGTCGTCTGTGGAGAAACACTGAAGATACAGTTTGACGCTACAAACTAAAGTCCTTGTTGTCGTTTGATAACATGAAGAAACTAAACTGACATTTATTAGTGAGAAACTAATTCTGCACTCTGGAGATTATTTCATTACCAATTAGTCTGCTCTCAAAGAGCTCCTTTAACGAATATTCATTTTATAGATTCCTCAATTGGATGAACGTTATCAGTGAGAAACACGTCTTTGTTTCATACTTTAACATGAACTCACTTATCTGTTGGTTTGATTCCGTGAGACAGATTTTACCCTGAGACCCATTAATAACATCGATTATGTGGACCTTTAAAAACAGAAATAAACGTATGACCGAGATCAGTAATCTGAACAACATGAGGTTTATAGAGATATTCTGTAAATATAAAATGAAATAGATACTATACTTGACAACAATCAGCCCAATTATCGATTATAAAACACAAAATTACAACCTTCAGTAGCTCGTATTGATCAGATCAATATAAAATTATTCTATGAACTGATCAATATGCAAACATTGACATGATGAAGATTCTCATTCACGCACCTTTTGGTTTATCTAAACTAATGGATCAATAGTTTTGATTTACAGATTCATCGCTAAGACGATCAATAGAACATGATTAAGCAACAATTTAATCTATTACTCCTCTGGAAATGAAATCTGCTCTATAAACTAAACGTAAACATAAAAACCGTGGACATTTATAACTGGTCGGTGTATATCCATTGATCAGAGAATGGATTAGTCGTTGATCGATAAGATCAAGTTGGGATGTTTAAAAGTGGCACTGAAACTCTTCAACGCATCCAGCTAATAAAACGCTGCATGAGTACAGCCACCGGCAGCTCGCCTCGCATCAACCGATAGATCCGGATCGATACGCAGCCTCATGGCTCTGCGGACGCAAGATGCAGCCACGCGGGCAACGAGCCACCGCAGCACCGCCTCCACCTGCTGCGGCCTCCCGCCCGGCTTCGCTCTGCTCCCTCGGTCCGCGGAGCCCCGCGTTCCGGCCCAGGGCCCCGAGTTCGATTACCCCGCACGTGCGGCCGCTAACAACAGCTCCCCACCCCCATGCTAGGTTAGCTTGCGGAGTTCCGGGAGCCGCGGCGTTTCCCAGCAGCCTCCCCGCGCGGGCCTTCGCACACTCGGTCACTCAGCCAGCGCCAGGAGGGAAGGGAGTTCCCACGGCCCTTCATAGCGCCGGTACGGGGGCGAAAAGCGGGGTGGAAAAACACCGACACGTCGGGTAAGAGTTCGTGTGGCGGTGCCGGTCGCTAGAGCATTGCTGCAGGTCGGAGACTCACCCTCTGCCGCCCCCGAAGCTGCAGTAGGCCCGGTCCCGCTCGTCGTAGTTGTCGAAGTCCGCCATTACTGCTGCTGTGTGTCGAAGGAGGAGGTCCTTCACGTCACACGGTGACGCGAGGTTTAGCTGTCCGGAGAGCGCCTGACCGGGAACAGCCACAACGTGTCTGGGCAACTTGTTGCCTGAATTTACACCTAAAGAGGTTTATACCGCAGAATGACATCACAGAGGTATATTAAATTAAACCAAGTAGTGAAGCACTCACCAAAAGATCGTAAACATTTTTGATTGAGTTTAACTAGCAAATAATACCTAAAAATAATTACATTTTCTGAAAATGTCTTTGGAAAGGTAAGAAGTAAAAGACAATATTCCCCGAATAAACACACTCCAACACATTGAAACGGTTGCATGTTCTTTCTCTTCTGTTCTCTGTAATGTATTGATATTGTTCATATACGTAAAACAGCCTGTCAATATTTTACATATATTCATTTCATGTTCTCTGCAATATTGTGAAATGTGATTGTTATTTAAATGGAGGCTTCAAATAAGCCCACTGGGCTTTCTGCCTCTTCCTGCACTGCTATACTATTTATCTTTGTTATGTTTATTTCTTTTTATTTATTGATACAATTAAAAAAACTGATATGAGTTGATGTCATGAAAGGAAAATCCAAAGAATGTCTTACTAACAGTGTTTGATGTCAAATCAAACCAGATTTGTCTCTACTTTGGAGGAATTTACATTTTGTGTCATATTTATTTTCATTACCTGTATTTCATTAATACAATATTTTACATTGCAGGTGTTTTGGTTCATTAAGTAAAAATGTTAAATATTTCATATCCAATGGAATCTAAGTAAAAAGCACAAAATAAAACAAACATACAGTTGTCATTTGCATCATTTCAAATTCTCTCGTACTCGTAGAAATATAAAAGCTTAACGATGTCTTTTTAATGGACATAGAAGACAGACTTAGATAATAGATAACATGCGCCGATAGCAAAACGCAGAAGCTCAGAGTAGAAAGGACAAGTGATAGAGGACAAACTATTACACATTCATTTATTTATTCAAATGAAACAGGGTTGGTAGCTAGTAAAGATTTCCTGCTGCTGCACTCGGTAAGTGGCGTCATGCACTCAAATGATGATTAGTAGTCAATCAGTAACAACCAAAGAAGGAGTCAGTTGAAGGGAGAGCTGAGAGAGGGAGCGAATGCGACGAACAGCTACAGTCAGTCAATGGGGTTGTTAGTTATAGAGAGTAAGAGATGAAGAAGTGGTCAGCATTACGGAGTCCTTTTACAGATCATCTGGATTAGATGTTGTCATCTAAGGATTTCTTTCAGTCATGAAGGTCTCCATTAGGACAGAAGCTCTCAGAGATAATTTTCAGGTCCATCAGAAGTCTTGTAGATCTAATAGAGATCTACAGATGTCTGGCAGGTTCGACTCAGCAATTCAATGCGGGTCTGGTAGTTCTTCCAGATATCTACGAGGGCTCTTGTAGATCTAGAGGTTGAAGAGCCATCAAAGAGCTGGATCGGAATGGGAAGCTGGGTTCAGATAATGTGGACGTGTTTCAGCAGCTGCCTGTGGAGCTGGTTTGCTCTGGAATGACCGTCAGATCTGGTAAAGGACAGTCTCTCTATGAGGGTCTGGATATAGGACGGCCGGACGGGACGTCCTTCTCACCGGGAATCATGGTTTTCCCCAAAAACTGGAAGCACAGAACAAAGAATAAAGTCTAAAACCAGTCAGAACACATCCCAGGTCAGCTCCTCAGGGTTTTTACCTGGTTCTCAGCCAGCGCCTGTTTGGCCATGTAGTGCTCCCTCTTCATCTTCAGCTCCACCTCCTCGGGGACGTCAGGCACAATCAAGTCGATCAGACGGCCAATGGAGAAGACCACGTGCTGAGAAAGAGAGGGGGCAGGTTGTTAAAAACGGTGTTACATGTTTTATTCCTCATCCATTGCGTTTCTCTCTGGATCACACTCACCTCGAACACAATGACAAACGTCAGTCGGATGGCGAGAAGATGGAAGTACTCCGGGAGGTAATCGCCGTCTGCATCCCTGAAACCCTGATACCTGCAGGGCATCGGCAACATTAGCAACATCAATGACACCAGCAACATTAGCAACATCAATGACACCAGCAACATTAGCAACATCTGCAAAATCAGCACCATCTTTAACATCAGCGTGGGGTTGTTGTCTACCTGCAGGGTGTGTGTTGCTGGTTGTAGTTGGGTGGGGTTGTTGCCTACCTGCAGGGTGTGTGTTGCTGGTTGTAGTTGCGTGGGGTCGTTGTCTACCTGCAGGAGTGTGTGTTGCTGTGTGTAGTTAGGGTGGGGTTGTTGCCTACCTGCAGGGTGTGTGTTGCTGTGTGTAGTTGGGTGGGGTTGTTGTCTACCTGCAGGGTGTGTGTTGCTGGTGTGTAGTTGGGTGGGGTTGTTGTCTACCT